ATGGTAACCACGAGGAACCTAACGAGTTGAGTTGCGCTCAGTGTTTACATGTTGGATTTTTTGGTTGCCCCCTCCATTACAAGGTTTTGTTGGACAAGTACATCTGTTTTGAAGGCTCTGCCATGTACCGTCTTCATTAATCAATTTAAACAACCATTTGCTCACAAGACACTTATTTTGGATGTCTAGGTTTTGGACCCCCCCCCCCAAACCCCCAAAGTCCTTTGCCCGGCACAATATACTCCATTTAGTGAGTCTATATTTTTTTTTCTTGTGCTCATCGCATTGCCAAAAAAATCTTGACAGGTAGGAATCAAGTTTTTGAAGAACTCCCTTGGGGACCTCAAAAAATGATAACAAGTACATTGCTAAGCTACTCAAAACAGAATTATTGAAGACTAGCCTACCACCTAACGATAGAAGTTTTCCTTTCCAACATCTAAGTTTCTTCTGAAATTTCTCTTCAATCATTATCCAACAGATGGAAACATTATAATGGAGGTGCCAACAACAACAAAAAAAAGGAGAAATGGTAATCCCAGTTGTATTTGAAATTTTTAGACCATAAAAAAAGTAAGTTTTTTTTAGGATTATTCACAATTCCACGGACAATGCAATGTGATTTTAGGATATTCGCCTGACCAACATTTGCAACTGGGTTCTAACCATCAGGGCGTCCCCAACGGGGCTCGAATCGCCGGCTGCGGTGAAATTCTATTGGTTGCACAGCCGAGAGAGGAACGAGCTAGCGAGTTCAGAGTCGCTGGGCTCGCACGTTCTCCCATAAAACTCCAATCTCTGAGATTCAATGCTCTGCGTCCCTATGCTCTCCACTTCTCCTTTTCTTTATTGTTTTTAGCCTTCATCTCGACTGACGATTTGGTTATCCCGTTGGGGACGCCTTCAGAGATAAATCGATGAGAGAAAAGGAGTACAGGGTCGAAGAGTCACAGGCTCACAGCAAGCAAAAGCCACTTTCGTTGGCTCGTTGCCCCCTTTACCCTTTGCAAAATTTCCAAGCCTTCTTTTCCTCGTCCCTGACTAACCGTGCTCTATGGACATGCAGCACTGCAGCCTGAACAGAGCACGCACAGACACTGAGACACACCCCTTTCGCCTTTAGGCCTCCCAAAAGCCCAGCTATTTAAGCACGCATGGCAGACCCTCTCTAGCAAACGCAACTTCAGTCTCAGTCTCAGACTCCCCCCAGTTTCTCTTCCCCCCAGTTCACCACTGCTATCCCATGGAGACAGGTCAGACAGTCCAGGAAAGCGCTCTGCACGCCGGGAGGCAGGCGTGGTGGCCTTTGGACACCATGGCGTGCAGCTTGGACGACGCGAGCACCATCAGCAGCTTCCTCCTTGGATGGGATCCACAGCTCTGCTGCTTCGGTCTAGGAGCAATAGGAGCTGGCGCCGGCGATTCTGATACCCATGCCCATGCGCGAGAGCTTGAGCTCTTCGTCCCCAAATGTAGGTCTCGCTTTGCAAGTTTCCATGCCTACAAGGTCTGCATTTTTGTTTCCATTCCCCGCATGCAGCTTGTGTCCATGGCGGTAACTCGTTGACTGTGCTAGGCATGGAGTCTCCGGTGTCCGAGGCGTCAACAGCAGCGGCAACGGACTGGATAATGCAGAATGACGCGACGGCGATGCCCGGGGAGCTGGATGAACTACTCATGGTGAGTTCAGGCTTGATGATCTCTGTTAATTCAAACTTAGCATGCAAATCTTGTGGTCCGATTATGGTGCTTGCATTCTCTCACTGAACTCTTGACATCTTCAGAGCCTGTGGGATTCGGACAAGGAGCACGCCGTGGGCTTCAGCTCCTGCAGCGCTCCGAAGGAGGCAAGCGCCACCTCTTCCCAATGTAAGAGTTTACAATCTGGTTTGCTCTCGAGTCTGAACTTCTGAATTGCTTTCTTTGGCTTAGTTTACACTGCAGTTTCTTTTTTACTGTCTCCAAGGACTTTGGTACTATAAATTGTCATTGATTTCATGATTGTGGTACGGTTCCAAACAACTAGGACAAACTTTGATGATTAAGTACTCCATTAAATAATCACGGTGCTTGTGAAATTTATGCCCGGCCCCACTCGAGATTAGCAGCACATTTCCTAACCCATCATCTGTGCATTCTTATCTTAGGTTAAAAAAAATCGATCTACACGTTCTGATGGCCCTCTTCCATCACTTTGGTAGTTTGGTTGTCAAATTCAGGGCGTTTTGCTTGTGTTTTGTTTAAAGAACAGATTACCGGTAATGTACTTCTGCAGTTGATAATCATTCCGATCTGAGCTCCATTCTGACGACGGTGCCGACATCCCCAGACAAGACTCCGACGCCGGCACAAGCAGAGCTTTCGGCATCTTCGACATCACACTGCAACGTGGACCCGCGGACCAGTGACACAGGTGGCGCCCAGCAGCAGCAGCAGCACCAAACCACTCGTGCCAACAGCTCGTCCAAGCGCTCGGCGCCGGAAGGTGCGGTCGTCCTATCCCGACCGTGTCACACTAAACCGCAGCAACAATTTTTCATTGCTCTCCTGTCTCTCTGCACGCAGAGAAAGGAGCAGAAGGCGGCGAGAGCAGCAAGAGGAGCAGGAAGGCGCCGTGCTCCACCGCCGGTGCGGTGGCGGCGTACCCGTTCGCCGTGGTGAAGCCCGGCGGCGCGGACGGCAGCGTGACACTCGCCGACATCAACCGGTGGATCCTCACGCCGCCGGCTCGCCCCGTCCGGCACCCCGTGGGGGAGTTCGCGTGCGCCCCACGCGTGTCGGCTGGCAACCGGCCGGCGCCGTCGGGCAAGACGGTGGCCGGCTTCACCAGGCTCCGCACCGCTGGCAGAGGCACGATAACCATCGTGAGGACACGAGGTTAAATGAGTTGTGCAAGCACGCGAGTCTGATGAAAATTAGTGACTGATTGTATCGCAAAATAGTACTAGTAGTAGTAGTAGTAGTAAAAAGGAAACTGGAGTCTGATGAGGATGAATTTGGGAAACCAAGTGTTCATCGTTCATGCCGAGAAGAGCAAAGTAGGTGGCTGCAGAGGCTTATTTAGGGGCTTGAACCACGATTCAGAAACAGGGTTGGGTTGTTGTACCAGGGGACAAGAAACGACAAGGAATTGTACATTTGTACCACTGGGCAGATGGTTGCTGTCACTGATGCTTAACCACCTGAAAGTTAACGCAACCGTGCGACTGTGCAAGTTACGGTCCTGTAGATTTGAGCTCAACTGCAGATGGCCCAAAGCCGAAGATCCCAGCTAAAGAATCTGAGGCCGGCGCAGAAACTATAAAGAAAGGCCCTCCTATTGTTTTCAATTTTTTAAAAAAAACTATCCTCATGTCACGACCCGGAACTCAAAGATATTAGACCTTGGGTACTCCTTCTGTTTCATATTATAAGACGTTTCGAATTTTCTAGATACGTTACATTTGCTATGCATATAGATATACATTTTGTCTAGATACATAATAAAAAACAATATATATAGAAAAGCCAAAACATCTTATAATTTGGAACGAATATAATAGTTTAGTTAAGCTAATGTCAATCTTATTGGCGGTTTTCATGTCCTGATTTTTAATGCTCCATGTGTTACAAACAATATAGATAAGTTTTTTTTAAAAGAAAACAATATAGATAAGTTTCATCCCCGTAAAACTCATTTCATCCGATAAAACTTTCATCATCTCTTTTCTCCTATTCTATGACAGTCAACTTATTTAATAACATGACACTGGCCTACTAAATGTGCACCCCACCCAACCGTTAGGTCAACTGAAGAGTCCACGTTAACATTACCTTTAACCCTACCTATTGACTAGTCAAAGAACCAGACGATTAGATTGTGAGTCTCATTGGTTACACCGTCAATGTAGACTAAATTAACCCATGCAACTTGCGGTGCAATATGTAAGCTCAACTAACACACTTCCACCAGCCCCTCAAAAAAAAAAAGACACTTCCACCAGCAGATCTCCGACTCATCACCCACCCTTCTCTTTCATTCCTCTTACTCTATCCTACTCTTCTCCCTCTCCTTTCTCGATTCCTCAAGCATGGACAGGTTGGTACAATAAATTTAGGCAAATTTAGACGTATTTTAACCTAGAAATAAATAAAAATATCTATGATAGGTATGTGCATGTGTGATATACTCGTTAATACGCTAGGCATACTAATCATATATATGGACAAAGAAAAGGAAAACGGTGTACGGATAGACCGGATGATTTTTTTCGTAAATGGCATAGGTGTGTTAACTTTTGTAAATAGCTAGAATAGATCAAATGACTATTATTGGCGATGATTACTGGAGTTTAACAAATTAAATGTTAGATGTTTGTAATTACTATGACAATTTCTAGGATTATCTTTTTTCTAGCATGTTTGATGCGGAGGCTCTGTTGAAGCCTTTGATTAGATACTAATTTAGACAGGTCTCCGTGGATAATAAACCATGATCACTTGTATTTTGTTAATTGTGACCTAATTATCAGTAGTTTAGAGCCAAGACTTATTTCTATGAAATCATGTACATATTGATTCAGTTTTGACAATTTTTGCTTGACACACCGCCACTACTAGCTGCTACTTCTGTGTCCCCAATTATAAGTCATTTTGGCTTTTCTAAGTATATAATTTTTGCTATGCACCTAGATATATAAAATGTGTAAATACGTAATAAAAGTCATGTACGTAGAAAAACCAAGATGACCTATAAATTGAAACGAACGGAGTAATATATTTAAAAACCACAGCATACTGAAGATTTGAAGTGCAGCTGTGCAGGATTAGGAACTAGCTAGTATTAGTATATCACAGTGGCATGATATGGTGGTACAAAGCAGGAGTTTATCTTCCGCACCAGAGACCTTATTCCATCCTTGACACATAGATTCACTTGCTACTAGATCAAGCAACTTCAATCTTAAGCCACCCACACCTGCAAGGCCGCAACAGCAACAGTCGCAGCTGCATGGCTGGCGTCAGGCCTTGTAGAGCATGCCGATCTCGACGCGCTGCTGCAGCGGGATGCCGAGCGCCGGCAGCGCGGAGCGGCAGGTGGTGTGCAGGAACTCGTAGAAGCCGAGCAGCACGCGGTCGAAGAAGCCCGTGTCCCTGCCCACGTGGAACCTCGTCTTGCCCCTGACGTGCACCACCCCGGCCGCGCGCGCCTCCTCCTCGACCTCCGCCGCGGAGGACGCCGTCTCCCGCTCGATGTGCTCGCGCACCGCCCGCACCACCTGCCCCGCGAGGTCGTCCCCCTCCTCGTCCAGCGGGTCGGCGTACCCGTAGTGGATCGTGCAGCCGTACACCCCGCGGGGACCGAACCGCCGGACCGCGATGCGGCTCTTGGCGTCCACCTTGGCCACCAGCAGGTAGCGGAGCGTCACGAAGACGGTGACCCTGTGCAGCGACCGCATGTTTCTGATGTAGTGCGCCAGCACCGGGGTGAGCCACCGCCACTCCTGCATGTTGCTGTAGAAGAAGCAGAGCCCCCGGACGCGGCGCACGTCGGGCACGGCCAGCAGCTCGCCCAGCCGCTCCAGGGTCACCTTGTTGGCCATCTCGTACTCCGCCTTGCGCTGCCGGCCGTAGTACCAGGTGAACATGACGAGCGCCAGCACGAGCGAGATGGCGAAGGGCAGCCAGCCGTCCTTCATGATCTTGGTGCACACCGCGCTCACGTAGGTGCCCTCCAGGATGAGGAAGGGCACGAAGTAGAGCGCCACCAGCAGCACGTGCGTGCCCCAGATGATGAGCATCACCAGCGTGAGCAGGATGGTGGTGATGAGCATGACGAGGATGACCACCACGCCGAACGCGTTGCCGATGTCCTTGCCGTCGCCGAAGCCGACGATGGCGCCCACGCACAGCAGCATCAGCAGGTAGTTGGTCTCCGGGGAGTAAACCTCCCCTTCCTTGTCCCCGGAGGTGTGCACCACCCGGACGAGCGGGAAGTAGTCCAGCGCCACCGACTCCTTGACCACGGAGAAGGTGGCGGAGATGAGCGACTAGCTGGCCACGATCGCCGCCAGCGTCGCGATGACGAACATGGGCCAGTACACGAACTTGTAGAACCCGTCGCCGAAGTCGTCCACGTGGTTGATCAGGTACGCCGTCTGCCCGGCGTACGTGAGCACCAGCGACGGGTAGATGCTGGACAGGAACGCGATCTGGATGGACCGCTTGCTGAAGTGCCCGAGGTCGGCGAACATGGCCTCGGCGCCCGTGATGCACAGCACGGTGTGCCGCCGAGCAGCTGCCAGCCCCGCTTCTGGTTGGTCACGAAGAAGTGGACGATGTAGTGCGGCGACATGGCCTTGAAGATGCCCGGGTAGTAGCGCAAGATGCTGTAGACGCCGATGATCAGGGTGGTGAACGTCCACGCCGCCATGATCGGCGAGAACATGAAGCTCACCTTGGACGTGCCGTACTTTTGCAGCAGGAACAGACCGATCAGGATCCCCGCGGACAGAGCCTCGACAGTCGCTGCAAAAACAAAACGCCACAGGCCATGGCCATACATGATTGATCAGCTCAATTGATCCCCGATCCCATTCCCTGAATCAAATCGATCGGCCGCTCACGTACGATCGCTGACAGACGGGAAAGGCCCTCTTAGTCCGTCAATAGCTGACAGGACTGAGATGGCCGGCGTGAGGATGCCGTCTCCAATGAGCATGCACATGCCCAGGATCGCCGTGAGCAGCAGCAACCTTCGCGCCGTAATGCTCCGCTCGATGAACCTTCTCAGCTTGCTGGGCCTCCCGGCCACGACGGGTCGAGCCGGGACCTGCAGGCCCTGCTCCTCCTCGGTGTATATCCTCTTGGACGGGAGGATGCCGATGTTGGCGTGCTGGCACAGCAGGGAGTACATGGCAAATGTGCCGCCTGCAGCGAAACAGATCGAAACACCCAGGTCGCAGTTAGAAATGTCTGGTTTTTCATCGGATTTAGTTTGGGATGGCCGTGTCCATCACCTTCGCCGTGGTCGTCGGCGTTAAGGGCGATGCAGATGTACTTGACGACGCCGATCAGTGTCAGGGTCCAGAACATGATGCTGTAGATTCCCAGGTAGTCCTCTTCGGTTGGGTTTGTCAGGTTCATGGAAGGGTAGACGTAGAGGGGGGAGGTGACAAGGCCACCGAATACGACGCCCAGAGTCTTGTAGGAAAGGAGCAGGTCTTTGTAGAATCCCTTCTTCTGCTCAGAAGAAGAGAAGAATGTTGGCGTGAGTTCACTACACCGGTACATACAAACCCTTTTGAACACGGTGTATAACTGTATATATACGAAAACAAATGTAAAATATAGAGTAAACCCCCCAAAATGCACATACAAATTATTTATCTATGCTATTATTATGAAAGATAACTTGAAGTAATTTATAAATTCGCATCAAAATTACTCATCTATGCAATCATCAATAATAACCCTAGTAGCTCCTAAGCTGCATCAAAATTGCCCACCTCTCTGCCATGACGAAATGAATAACACAAAGTACTTGCACATGATTTTTCACAAATGCTCGCGTAAACGATCATTTAGTCAATTTGAACACCGTTTAAACACTGCATTGATTGTTAACATTTACAAACATTGTTTCGGTCAATCACTTCAGTCAATTTTGCAAAACAAACTCAAAGTAGATATGCATGTAGGAAACAATGAACATATCGATTTTCATAAGATAGCGATCACGAAAGATATTGGCTCCACATATATCTATTTTCAATTATCATACACAGAGTGATGGACATATTGATTCTCACAACTAGATAAATACATATAGATATATAGAAAGATATATTGCAACCTTCGCGCTGTAATATATCAACAATATATATAGATATATAGAAAGATAGAGAGATATACAGATATAGAGGCATCCTCTTATCTTAAATTGCTAGCACGTGTAGGCGCGTTGGTTGACTGGCCATATATATATATATATATATATATATATATATATTACCCTGGGTACCGATTAATGTTCAGTACCCGAGTCCGAATCACCGACCCCGAGCGTCGGGCGTTTCCTACGCGGATTCCCCCGCTCCCACCTCGGACCGGGCCAACCACGGGCGCTCCCCGCGCCGGTTCACCCACAAGCTCGAGCTGGTATGCTGCTCCGACACTCCCCACCCACGCACGATTCTTTTTTTTGCGAACTTGCGGTTTCTATTCCCCTCACACAATCTGCTCGGTCTCCTCTTTCCCTCTCTCCGCCGGCACCGCCCGTCCGACCCCTCTCCATACCACCGCTGTTTCGCCGCTGCCTCCACCGTGCCGCCCGCACAGCGCCATGCGTCCGCATGCGCCGCCTGGCCGGGCGTTCTCGGCCGCCTTTCCCCAGTGTGCCATTCGGCCTCGCGCAGGGGAGGCGTAGGCACCGACGGCGGCCCGTCTCTTCCATCACCAGCGGCAGCGCGGCCCGTCCCTTCCCCGACGGCGTGGCCCCCGCCCTTTCTCCGATCTGCGGCGGCGCGGCCCCTTCGCTTTCCCGATCCACGGCGGCGCGGCCCCACCGCTTCCCCGACCCACAGCTGCGACGTCGTCCTCTCCCCCACCGGTGGCGGCGCTGGCGTGCCCCTCCAAAGCAGATCCGGCCATGTCGCACCTCCCCTCATGTCCTTCGGCGACGGCGACGTCAGACAGCCTCCTTTGCCGCCTGGTCTCCGATGGCTTCACGCTCTACCCTCTCCGCAGCCTATACCTCGCCTCCCAGGTACCGATGGCTCCTCTTCTTGCCCTTGTTGTCGCACTAGCCTTGATTTCTGCGTGTCTTGTCTTCTTCACTTCCCCTGCAGTGCAGGAGCTTGGGCGGCGTCCATTGAGCTTAGCTCAGCAGTGGTGTATGACACATCAGTGCACCTGAGGGGTGAGCAGAAGGACGTCAAGCAGCTGCTCAAGGTGAACAGCCTTGCGAAAACATGAAATACTTCCATATTTGTATAGTGTAATTCGCTTTTCTTATTTTGATTGTTTCATGTTCTGTTCTGTATTAGTGTCATGGATTTCTTCAGTAAACACAACCATGAGGACGAAATTGTGAGCTTCACATAATCCTTTGTGCATACTCTCCTTATTCTAAATTGTTCCATATGATGTTGCGCACGGTGCAGGTAAGCCAGGGCAGAGGGCAGATCCAGCAGGTCCCTGGTCTGGTTGGAGCATCAAAAGCGTGGCTGCACGGACTTCCTCTCCGATCTTTCTTGGTTTGATCCTTCTGATGAACTCCCCATTGAGTATTGATGTGCAAGGTGCCCATTAATTAGCAATATCTGAATCCCAAATATTTTGTTATATTTTGCTCATAGATCTGATGATTTTTTGTGCAGGTGTAGGAAAGAACCGACAAGCAGGAGCACAACTAGCTCATCCTGATGGCAGTCAGAATGGAAGCACCAAATATGTATGATCAATCTCTTTCTCACTGTTCTCTTTCTCGATTTATTTTTGCGGACGATGCAAGGTGTTGTGAGCAAAAGATATCTACTTACAGTATTACACTATTAGTTCAGTTGATTAATCAATCTTTTTCTATTACAATGTTTTGTAAATTAAATGATCATGGATGTGGCAATGCTGGCTAGCTCCACGTTAATTAAGTGATTTCATATTTGGGTGTTTTTCACTATAGAGGTCTGTGTGTAATGCAGCTCTGAAATTAATGTGTCGATTCTTTTTTTCTTGATTCTAAATCAAATAGCTTTTTTCATGGGCTTGTTGTATCATGCAATCTACAGCTGATAATACTATGCATATGCGCCTTCTTTTTCTTTTGAGTAAACCACACCGTCAACTGAACTTACTCCCTAACCAGGTCTATGGCTGGATGTTGTGCATGATCCAGTGAGGGTACATCCAGCACCCCCTAGTTCAACCATGTTAGTTGAAGACCCCCCTCGTCTACAGGGTGTCAGGGTGAGTGTTGTGTGGCATGGCGAGATCGCCGAAGTCCATAGGCCACACCCAACGGCATCTGGCAGCTATGTCACATCTTCATCACCTTATGCTTTGTGACTGCTTCTTGCTTTGCCTCAGGATAAGCCTTCTGTTAATGTGCCTGTTTTCTTTATTACTGCAGTTATGAGTTGTTTTCATTCATGAAAATGGTACACGGTAATATATGTAATTCCAATAAAATCATCTCAGTTCATGTTTGGTTAGTTTTCTTGCATCCTGACAGCATCTCTTCATAAATTGTGTATATTGAGTTCAGTCCTATTAATCTGGGGCAAGGTTGATCTAATGGCTTCTGTTTTCAGTTATACAGAGATATAACAATTTTCTTTCCATGTCTGTCCTAGATTATTTAGGTAAATAATTTGTGTACTTTCCCTTCTAGTTCTAGACTAGACTCTTCGGTTCACATGCTTAAAAAGGAGATTCAAACTAATATTTTGGTAGACTTAATCACATTAGTAAAGAACATGGTGTTATGTACTTGGACCTAATCTTCTTTTGCCATTAAAATTGATTGTATGAAGAACACATGTTCCTCGTTTGTCAGATAAATAGACTTATGTCTCAATTTATTCTTAGTCATAACAAATCATTTTTTAAACCACATATTGGTTCTTGTCTTTGGCCCACAAGTACTTATTACCAAATTTATCCTTAACCATAAAAATTCATTTGTCAAACCACAGATATGGTTCAATCTTAATAGGCCGGTGGTAGATGCCAGTCACTGGCGTTTTGGCAGCAGCTCTTTTGAACCGATTAAATTAAATAAACCAGAAGCGTTAATGGTCCACTTACTGCGTTAGAACATCTTGTTAAAGTTTCAGCAATTTTATAGGATGTGTGCGAAGCCAGGAGATTCAAAATGTTCATATGCTAGCATGTTCAAATTTGTCATTAGTAGATCTAATTTTAGGATGCTCATGAGATAACTAACGCATAGCGTGTCCATAATTCAGTGAAGAATTACCATTTTATCATAGTGACTGTTCGGTTCAGCTTGCTGCACAGCCACAGGGTTGCAGCAGCAATCACAAAGCGATTGGGCCTTATACTTATTAAGTAATTTGTTAAATTTGTTAATACTTCTAGCCTTTCATTTTGTATGTAACCAATTTAATTTGTACTTAATTGTTGTGCACTAACATAATGCAATATGGGCTTTGTGGAACCTGCATTTGGTTGATACAAGTGCATGCTGTTGTTTGATAAAGTGGTATGGACAGGAATGTTTCTTGAATGCATGCACGAAAACAGGTATTAAATCCAAGAAAAGGGTTGTACATAACAATATTTATTTATGATCAAGCTAAAGTGGTTATGAATAATTTATATTTTATGCTTAACTCACTTCATTTGGAAGATAGCAGGGTTAGATGCAAAAAATTAACCATATGTTCATATTGCAGGCAAGGGATGGCACTGAGTATAGTGGATCAGAAACAAAACGTCATTAATGAACACAAACACAAATAGCAAGGTCAATGTTGTTTGTTTCTCACTTGAAGATCACAATTTAGTAGTTCAGTTCGATGAACACTTGTCTGATTTCATATTATTCAAAATTTTGTTTTTAAAAGGTCTCGTTGCCGTCTAAAAGGCCGCTCTCATGACATGCCCTATGGATTTGGCAGTAGCTAGCAGTCAATCACCAGCTTCCCCAACATCAAAGATGGCAATAGCTATTGGGTATGTTTCTCTGATTGACGCATCAAAACCAATCTGATCATTTGCATTGTAGCCAAAGCGTTGCCCGTCCACTTAATCTATTCTGACATCTAGTTTTTTTCCCTTTTGCACAAATTACATTTCTTATTTCAGTCCATCAATATCTACTGAAAACACACCAATCTGTGCACAGCAAGGCAATCCCTTAACACACGGAGCAACTATAACATATGAGGACTAGATAGCGGCTACACAGCCTGCATGCTTTCCCCACAATCGGAAATGTGAAGGTTAGAAAATTAATCTTTTATATAATTTTGTGCAAATGCATGCAGGTCTTATCCACACATAACCTTTTACATAAGTATTGTTTCTAGCTAAATATATACTTCTTAGTTTAATAGTTGGAGTTCTTCTACAACCTCAACATCCCTCGTGATTCATGAAACAGAGTAATTTGCTGAAAAGGTGTTTCTGACATTTGCAGAACATTGTGTTGAACTTTAAAACTTTCCGTGGAATATGATTCCATATTGCCGATGTGCAGCAAGAGGTGGGTTTATCGGACATGGCCTTGTGTCATTTGCCATCCACAACTGAATTTTTAATTCTCTGCC